TCGTATCTAATGCGAGTATGCATTTTTCAGAAATGCGCATAATGTCAGCCGCATGCATTTACATTTATTGTGCTCGTTGTTTCCCTTTGTTTTTGACATCTTCGCCATACGGATCGAAAGAATGGACTCGGTATCAAAATTCAGATGGCGTTTCGAAACGAAACGTGTATTGTTTCGTTGAGTTTCTTTAGTACGAAATGAAAATATTGATAAATAAATAGGACTTGTAATACATTAAATTAAAGCTTAAAGTTTACTGAACATGATTATATAAACCGCCTGTCAATATTCTTAACCCAAGATGCGTGGTTGTGGATCGCAACGGACAATCTCAAGTATCCAATTTCAAAAGGTGAAAAGTCTAAGATGATTTCATGACATAAAAGTGTCACAAAATAGCACTTTTGATATGTCAATTTAAAGCTTAAAATTGACTGAAGATGGTGGTATAAATGCTTCATCAATATTTGAAATTCAAAATGACTAATTACTCACTAGAGTAAGGTAAGGATCTTTAAGTTCACAAAAGCCCAAACTTGTTTACAGATTAAAGATCGAATCGTATCGACAGTTTTAATCACGTTCATCCCGATATCTAACATAAGTAGCGAGATGATGTTCGCATAATCAGCTCGAACGTTGCCGGAAGTGGCTCGTGAGTGAAGAAGAGGAGGTGGATGGATGGTGGTATAAGGTAAGGGACGAGTGGTTGTGGTTAATAGCATGGGATGCTATGGTGGTATATGGCCTATCTAAGGGTTAAAGGTTATCAAGCGGATGTCTAAGTGACTTGCAAGGCTGCAAGGTTCGCGATCGTTGCTAATCTTGTTAACCCCTTCAGACCCACCCTCTCTCTTGCCTTTCGTTTTCCACTCACTCAACGGATAGCTAAATCGTCGATCTACCGGTTGGATAATTTTCTTTCAACTCGATTGAACATTCAATCGATCAAAAGCATCCTTCGTGGCACATCATTCTTGATCTTTGATCGTTCAACAGAGATTGAAGGATTAAAAATTTCAAATAGTTCTGTGATTCAAAATCGGTTCCAAATTACACTTTTACAATTTAGTTGAATTTTGTCACATAGATAAATTCCAATGAAAACTCATTTTAATTAATTGAAATATGAAAAAATGTGAAATGTATAATTATCAAATATTAAATAAAGTAAATCAATGATCACGTTTTCTATTGTCATTAGAAATCATAAAATCCCATGAAACGCGAAATATTTTCAAATGCCATAAAATAGAATGGAAGTCAAAGAACCATCAATAATCCTCTGATAGAACATACAGCTTTCAATCACCGATCCATCATTCATTCAGTGGTCGCGTTGAAAATAAACCAATCTTACGGCTGATCTTGAAAAAACAGGAAAATAACAAAAAAAAGGGGTATACGCGATACGTGGATTCCTTTTTTTCGAGCTTCAACGTACTACACACTACGCGTCATTCTGAAAAGCACGCAGAGTCTAATTAATCTGTCAAATGCAGCCTAGTTCGGCTAGCAGGCGCGCGAAATGTCAAAGAGCTTGTCAAATCTCACCGTTAGCGTCCCGTTACCAGCGTCGGGACGCTTTCATTGAAAAGTATGCGGAAAATGCGACCGGAATGTGTCGAAGGAAAACAAGCAAGATATCTGTTTCCTGGAACGTGCGTCAATCGGTAAACTCTGTGACATCATCCTCGTTTTTTTCCTTCCAAATTCAACGAACAGAAATGTAGGTCGTTCATTTCTTTTTCTTTTTTTTTTAAATGTGTATTTGAAATTGAAATATTTTTTTAAATGACACATATTTTCTTTTATTAGTCGAAAAATGTTTTTAAGTGTTGAAAAGTTTCTTTAACATTTGTTAGATGATTATTTTCAGAAATAGGTAAACGAAATACTTAAATCGATGATGTAAAACCAGAGCGTGTAATTTTGCATATTTATAAATTCTGACGCGAACGCGGTAAAAGCCATCGTCAATCGAAATTGGAAAAAAATTCCAGCCTTCGGAAGAATGGATCTGGTAATAATCGGAACAGCTCTAATTTATATTACCGTGTCACCTGTTTAACGAGCATCCAGACCTCAAGAGGGATTGTTTATCGATCAAATATTATTATCTGCTCCGATGTACAGAAAATGACACGGTTTCGTTTTGTATCTAAACACCATATAGAATTCAAATCGTTAATTAATTTTCTCTATTTAAAGAATTTCATGAACATAAAAAAATTAAATAAACAATTTGCTATTTACTAAGCAAAACTACTATAATTATTTTGACTAAGTAAGGTTCAAATCCTTTTTATAATTTAATATCTAATTGAATTTCATTAAAGTTTTATAAGTTCGTCATCCACGTGTTTGCTTGGTATAATATGTACGGCAATATGAATGCAGTTTACATTGTGTGGTGCACGAGTCCCGAACAGACACAAGTTATCAGGGAACATCGGCTCCAATGTGCAACAAGGAAAGACAAACAAGATAGTTTGATGGCTCTACGATCGGTTCAGTTAACAATATGTCTTTGGTCAACGTCAAAGGGCTCGTTTGGGAAAGTTAATGAATCAGTATCTAATATCGTGCTTAATAGAAGATGAACGAAACTTATGGAGGAGAACGGCCCTTACGGACAGAATTGATGAATTTGTTATTGAATCTTGAATTACAATACGGTAGTGAAATGCACAAGTCATCAGAATAATTGAAAAAGAACTACTTTTAAGGTTCTATTGAAATTTTCGTGATTATTAGCTATCTAATGCCTCAATAGGAAATTCCTGATTCTAAGTTTCTAATGGTCTAATTTTTGATTTCCTAATTTTCTAACAGAAAATTCTTAATTCTAATTTTCTAATATCTCAATGTTTAATATGAAAATATTTAATAGGAAATCTCTAATTTTAATTTTTTATTTTTCCAATTCAGTAATTATTACTGTCATATAATATTATTCTTCTCAATATTATTTCAGAGGCTATATCAATTTTCGGGAATAAATCCCTGATTTAATTGTAAAACATTTTACTATGTCGATTTTTCTTGGAAAATACTCACACGAGGTAATCGAAAATTCGTAACGAGCAACCGACAGGATTACAATTTTACCATCTTGCAAACCGTTCTAGTTTTTACGTGGTCCATAAATGAGACGTTTAAATTTTTGAAACTCAACTTCAGAAAACTCTTCGCTACCTTTTTACACTACTAAAAGCAAACTAACTTCCGGCAGGTAAAAACATTTCAGTTGCTTTCAGAGCTTTTTTCGCTTGGCCAACTTATCTCGAAACTTTCTAAAATTCGCGCTTTTCAAAAAATTTCATTGCTCTATATTAATTATGGTATAACTGACAAAATGGTATACTTCGTAATGAAAATAAAGTTCATTGTCTTAATTCTTAATTTTGTAAAATCTTAATAGAAAATTTCCAATTCTAATTTTGCAACGTGCTAACTTCTAATTTCTTTAATTTTCAATTTTTCGGAATTTTCTTAATTTCCTAATTAGAATTTTCTAACTATTGAAATTTCAATAATTCTTAATTTTCTTAATTGTCTCTGGGTATAGATAATCCTGTTCTTCTATTAATTTTTCCAATTTCAATCCTTATTATTTCATCCACCAAATACAAAAAATTGAAGGGATTAGTGGTCTCATTCATTTACCATCATCAAACTACCATTTAACCCGTTCAATTCTACACTCAGTTGGATTGGTCTAAAAAGAATATCTATGATTGCACGTGCACAGGACGTGTTCCAATGCAGTGTGGAAGGCTGACCGGAAGTCAGGATCCGGAAGTATAGACGAACGGAGAAAAGTACAGAGAGAGCTACTAGTTTCCGTCTATATCTAAAAGATTCGATGGTGGTTCGAGAAAGGAATCGCATTACGTTCCGTTGGAACTGTTGTAACAAAAGGGGAGATAATGGCCAATGGAAAACTCGAGCAACGAAACGGATAAAGATCCCTGGATTACAGCTCCACCATCTTGTTCTTGTATCTAATTCCTCCTATTTACAGGGTCCCCTACCATGAAACCACCCTGATGAGAAAACCAACAGACCTTTGCCTTTTTTTCAGAACAGAGCCATTTCTTTCAACAGGGTGAAACTACTCTTTCCTGTTTTTTATTTATTGTCTTGATAAATTGAGATATTGAACTGTATTAACCAATTTTGACCAATAAAAATTTTATGAACTTTAGTTTCTTTTTTTTAATTTAAAAATTAGATATTAAAAAATTAGAATCAGAAATTTCCTATTAAGGAATTAGAAAATTAAGAATTAAGTGAAATATTATCATTTTGATAATTGGAAAATTGTCTTGATTATTAATTTTAATTATTAACCGAAATTCAATATCGTTCAACAAAACGTTTCCTTTAATATTCTCTTTTCTTCAATTTTCTTTACCGGAGGAAGTTGCTAGGAGTTCGGAATAGAATTGATAAAAAATTTTCTGATCGAATCAAGTTTCTTGCTGCGTTCAATTATTATACAAAGACTCGAGAAGCTCGGAGTCGAGGGGAATCTTTTGAAAATTCCTTTTGCATTCTTCTGTTTGAAACGCATGAAACTATTTCGCCGAAGAAATTCGAAAGAATAGGAGATTCAGTTGCAGGTAGGAAACTTCGATGAAAATGGTATATCCTACTGATATCGAAACTTCCCATGGATGTTCGTGAAATAATTATTTCAAGATATACATGGTAAAAATGTTAGAGAAAATAAATAAATTGTTAGAGAAAAATAAGAAGAAAAATTAGTATCAAGGAAGATATTTTGTTTAAGAATGATTTCAAAAGATTCACGTTCGACTTGGTTTCCTCAAAAATTCACAGATGCGTAAAGTGATCGCGATTGCAATAATACCGAGTGTAATTCGAGGTCTTCGAACTACATGTATAAATATCAGTCTGTTTAGAATCAAGGGACTAGCTAAAATACGCGGTATTAGAATCGTTGTACCATGCAATTTCTATATGCAACTCACCATTGATGACGTGCACGTTGACGCTGGCCTTCTCTGCCACAGTGGGCACACAGCTATAGTTCCCAGAGTCGCCTGGCTTTGCATGGGTGATCCTCAATCTGTAATAAAACGAAAAACCGATATTAACCTCACTGAAAATTCATATTTCATACATATATACTAATCATGATTTTCAACATAAAAATAACAAATAATTGATGATCAAATTTTCATTGAGAAACTTTTCTTTCTGAGCAATAGAAAAACAAAAAAATTAGAAAAATTATGCTTATTACCTAATGTAATACTTGGGTCTTAATTTACAGAGAAATTAATCGTATAACGATGTATAAACGACAGCAAATGGCTCCGATTTCACGGAACGATCGTTGTTACGCGGTTCCGTTCACGAGGTATATGAAATAATTAATGACGAAATTAACAATGAAGTGTCGATGATCTAACACCCTATTAACTGGTGTTCAATAGCGCTTGCGGTACGACCAAATTTCCTCTCAACGAGAAATATAAGCGTTTTGTGATTACACTTCACTGAGTATTCATCAGTTGAAATTTTAATTACTTCAAAGTGATGTATTTATACCGAGTGCTCTAATTATTGGTAAAAGCTACCGACTTTCTCTGTCGTTGAATAGATCAATTTCCTGATTTTCACTGACAAATTTTCAGTATTTGGTGTTAATTTTATATAGAAAATCATTTTTATTGATTATTATAATGACCTATGAACGAGGTGGCTGCAAATGAACACAACAGTATATTAGAATAATATCTATTCTAAATAGAAATGATTTTTTATATGGTACTAATAATTTTGGCAAATGCAATCCTTATACGATTGAACATATTGAAAAATTCATTAAGCGACTAATACTAATTAAAATTACAATTTTATTATTAAAGTGAAATAAGAAGAAAATTGCATTTAGTATCATCTCTGGGAAGAATTCTAGAATGTAATTTTATCTAAAAATTTTAAAAAACCCTGCAACAATGTTTTTATCCCAGCTAGTACGTAAAAGGAACTAATTGTAAGATCGAATAACCAGGTCAAAGTTAGCTATAATCCTTCTTGCGTTTTCTAATGGCAATTAATCGTCCTGTCGCGAACCTCGAAGCAACACACACGAAATTACACTTTTCAGCATCATTTAACACGAGCACACTGCACTACCAATAAAAGTCATTGGACGTCTGTTGCTAGAAACAGCAGAAATATTGGGTATCATATCCAGGCGTCGTAAATAAATCCAGTGATCCTGTTCGCCTAAGCGTATTATCCTGGTGGTAACGTTGTACATCATCCCTTTCAGCGACGTAATAAAAGCACCAAAACCCTTCTGCTTTCGCGACCTACCACTACTTTGTACACACTGATGTTAACGGAACAGTGTGTTTCAGGATAAGTTATATAAATCGTCCCGAAGGGACGAATATAGTTCACTCGTGATATGTGTTCTATTTTCATGAAACTCTTGGTAATTGAACATTTTTGTCTCGAACTAAACGATTGAAATAATTTAATGGGAGATTTTCAGTCAAAGTACAAATTTTATTGAAATATTACATATTCTGAGGATAATTTAAAAATCAATCGTTAATAGGAAGGTTTCATTATTTTTGAATTTCCGTTTCAAATTAAAAAATTTATCAAACTACCTTTGTGAAAGTATATGTCAACCTTTAACTACATTTGCCAATTTATTTTTAATTTGAACATAAATTGGTACACTCTAATATTAAATAGAAAACTGATACCGGATGTATGAAACAATTTTCACACTCCATTATCGAACAAATAAAAATCCTCTAAGTCTACAATAAATCCACTAGGTCAAAGGAGGGTATCTCTCTCAGAGAAGAGAAAATAATTTGACGTCAAATACACAAGTGACACAATGTAGTGGCTCGTAAAGAAGTTCCAAAGCAACTCGTTCCCAACAGATTATTGATTAATCATTTACTTGTGTTTCAGTAGTTTCATCGTTCGTCGCACTAACGTATTACACCCCTGGGGCTAATAACGATCGTTTAAGAACTACGTAACAGTGGCCCTGGAGTTGCTGTTCCACCGACAAACCGAGAAAGCCTTGAGAAATAATTATTTTCATTTTCAACGAACAAACTGGGTCTGCCTTTAATAAACCCTCGAGATAATGAACGTAAATAACAGGTGGACGAGGTTAGTGTCGCCCAGTGAATTCTGTTGACTTTGTACCACATTGCTGATAAAGTGGTTGTGAAATGTTTAATCCAATTTTACTGAAGCTATTTTAACTCTTTCATACCATATATTAAGGATTAATTGTTTTAACAACTTAACTACCAGGATTATAATTGGTACGACACCTTTTATAAAGAGTTATTATCACTTTGATAGTCGGAGATTTTATGATTTTTGAAATTTCTCTGAAAGGAGATTATTAAATTCAGGGGGAATTAATTTTCAAATTATAATTAATTATAAGAAATTAGGTAATGATTGGTAAAAGTGTGGAGAATATGAAAATTTTAATTTCAATTTGATAATTAGTATTATTAGTAAAGTACTTAGCTTTTTCAACGTTTGGAAATGTGCTGTACCTTCTAATTAAGACACACAGAAATTTCATGTAATTAGGTCAGTAATTCTCCAAATTTCAAAGCTTTAATTAAAAATGAGCACTGAAATTTTGAAGTGAAAAAAATTTGCATAATGTATCTAAAGAAATGATGTAAAATTTTGAAAATCCAAGAGAAAAATATTTTTTTACTAATCTGCTAACATCTAATTGCCCATTCTAGGGCTATAGGGCATCGAGTTGTACAGGTCTATTGTGTAACCACGTAATATTCAGTTGGTCGTCGAGTAGGGTGGAAACAAGGCGAGCGAAGTGTCCTTTGTCAGCTGGCCTGTGCACCGTGAAGACGGATCGGGCGTGCTCTGCATTTCTAGCCGGACCTTGTCAGCCCTTGCCGCCATTTCTGTCACGTTATTGCAACCGTACTGCATCTGTTTTTGGACGTGATTGACGATTGTCAGCCCCGATGAATTTACGAGGTCGTACATTGGCTCAAGAACCCCGAATTAATTGTCTCGTGGATGACGCTGCATGCTACTATCTCTGTCTTTTTGCGGCGGAACATGTGTTCGTCGGTCTTTGTTGTGAAAATTAGAGCCCTGCGGCGAATTGCCCTTTGAAACACTTGTAGGGATAACTAGTGGATCAACGGTTATAGTTTTGATGATTTATGCGGGCGATAATGGGAGAGAGATTATGGGGATGAATGGAGTTGCTGTTAGAAATTAATGTCAGGGGTGATTAGTAATTTCTCAGGTTTTTTATAGGTTTTCTATTTCCAAATCTTTAGTATTATTAACGATTATAGCAAAGAGATAGGTTTTGAAACATTATTGATTATTCAAGAAGGATACTTAATCAATTTGTGAATTTTCAAAAAATCTTATCAGAGAAATTCAATAACTTTCAAATGATATTTAATTAACTTAATTAAGAGTGCTTGAATTTTTAAAACGGCTCTCAAATTCTGATACCGAGACTCGTTAATTAAAGTTAAATAGCTAAATAATTAATTCGGAGATTCATAATAAAAATTAACAAGTTTCAAAGTATTTTTTTATTATATTCGTGGATCGACCTACAAGAATTTCGGGCCAACTTTTAATTGGAATAGCAAGTTTCCACGATGGTGCATGCAGCTCACGAAAACGTCTCTTTTTATTAGAAAATGGCTATTCGCTGCAGAAAATCCTGCTTTGTTATGAAACATTTTATTCAATTTGGAAACTTTTACTATAGAATCTTTCTGTACCATTGTTCTAAGAACTTTTAACCGAACATATGATGGTACCAAAAGTTGTCATAATGGTACCTTTCATTTATTTTATGTCACCCCATGTTTCATTTCCATTTATTAGAGTTCAATTTCTTGAGAATAAAAAATAGCAAGCTTTCAAATTTTGTCCATATATTAGTATTAATTTTCTTTAAAATAGAACTTTGAAATTTAACCTTTAAAATTATTACCTTGTATAATTACTAGTATCAGCATCTGTTTTTTTCTCCCTAAATTAATTAATTATATTTGAGGTGTCAATAACCAGTGTCCCCATAGTAGAACCACACTGTATTACGTTAAGACTCTTAATTCCTCTATATTTTTATATAGAAAATAAAATAAAATAAAATAAAATAAAATAAAAATACCTTGATGTGAGTGCGTCGCTCCATTCTGTTTCCACAGTGATACGAGGCTCACCGTTTACGTCGTTCTCCGAATGTGGCGACGTTACTACTGGCTGACTACCACGGTACCAAGCTACTGTACCCAAATCATGAGGTCCTTGAGACATCAGGCAGGTGAGTGTGAGAAGACTGCCAGTTTTTACATATATATCCGATGGCCCACTTATTCTAGCTCGTGCTTCTGTAACAAAAAATGTTTTCATTCGTCAGTACAGCTATAATTGGATTTAAGGTAGGTATTTAAAAATTGATATTTTCAGAATTATTCATAATTTTTGCAAAATATCTTGTACAATTTTATTAGAAATCCCATTAAATGACTAATTGTTAAAATAAAATATTAATTAATTTTAAAGCACTCTTTTCTTAATTTACTTTGAGCTCGTTTAATTAAATTTATAATTAAAGATAATCGTCAAAGCAGTTAAAATGTTAAAGGAATAAAATGATAAGAAGTTAGAAATCAGAATGCCAGTTGACTAAGCTTTAAAGGTAGTTTCGAATGCTGCGTCAATGTTACGGACCTGGCTATCCGATATCCGATACCGATAAATTATTCATATCGCGGGGAAATCGCGTCGTATATAAGCACCTAGTGTTGGACCATCCTGGGATTTAGTTCGACCTACTTTGTAATTAGCACGCGAATGGTTTCCTCGACGCTGTACATTTATAATGTGCGTGAGTAATTAGGTGCGACTGAAATTATCGTTCGAATTTACAGTGAGAGGTCAAATTTCGCCCTAGTACAAACTGTTCAACCCTGTCATCCTATTTATGGGTCACAAAATCTTACGCATTTAGTCTCGTTTAATAAACATGATACCTTAACAGGTGAAAGAATTTAATCACTTAAGATTAAAAATAAAATATGTTAATAATTTTACAAATCCACACATCGTATAGAATGTTTCAAAAATTCATTGGCAACCAAGTGTAATTTAATATTTGATTCCTGAAAAGTTGAACAGATGTCGAAGAGATAGCAGGAAAAATTTCACCCTATACGTATTAAAATTTAAAACATATAAGACTCTTGACAGGATACTCGTTGAAAAGCAACTATAACCGAGGTTCATTCGCAGGTGTTCTCAAAGCGAGTGTCAAATCCTTTCGAATTCTGTAATAAATCTTTAAATGTCGTTCTATAAGCCCATCTCACGTATCCAGTTGAAGCCTTTCCTTCACTTTGTTTTTCTTTTTCTTCCTATTTTCCGCACCCTTTTTTTTCGAAAACCCTCATCAATTTCAGCCCGGCCAGAGAGGTATCTATCAGGCCACAGTTCAACGAATACAGGCTAAACAGAAGAAAAATGTGTCCAGTCACCGTTCAGATATCAAATTCGAATGGAAATCACGAACATTCGATTTGTGGTGTTTCATAGCGAAACAAACTATTGATTTCTGTTTTAAGTTTGATGGAAATAAAATAAATAAAAATAAAATAAAGTAAAAGGGTAGAGTGAAGTTTTATGAAAATACAAAATTACCCACCACTCATTAAAATTTAAGTATTATATAATTATTAATTAGTTGAAAATTATAAATTAGCATTTTCATTTTCGAAGAATTCAATGTAAAATTGAAAGTTAATTAACATCAGAGATTTTAGAGATACTTTCACACCAAGAAATCATACTAATTGTAAATGGTTAAAAATGGCTGCTCGATAAGATTCACGATGAATGGAGGGTGGCAGGAAAAAGCATTAACGAGTAATTCACACCAAGCAGAATCGACTTTTCATTATGGAAAAGTTGGACGAAGGCTAACTCTCACGGGAGAAGAGGAAGCTCGTTCAACTTCCTAATGAAATGTTCCTTACATTGTATAAAATAGATAGCGACGTCTTTCTTTCGCTTTTTTAAAAATTCTTTCACCCACCTCAACTTGGAATATAGGTTAGAGACTCTTGCTTTAAAGGGTTAAAGCTAACAAGAGACAGAGAACCTTATCGTTTTCTCTACTTTCTTTCACGTTATATACATATAGTATTCCTTGCACTGTGTTTTATACAAATCTCAACAAATTTTATAATCTGGACATTTAAAATCCTATATTAACTACTTCAGTATTTAGTTATTAATATTTTTATATTATCGCTAAATATCTTCCTATAAAATTCTACAAATTCACGAATATAAAACATCATAAATTATCCACAGTCAGCTAATAAAGAAAATCAATCTCTCAGTGAACAAAGAAAAAAGAAGTCTAACCAACCCTCGTTAAAGCGAATCCACCCTCCACACGATATTGCTCATGACGAGTTCTCAAAAAGAGGTTTACGCCGAGTTAAAAAAAAAAGAAGAAAGATGAGAAAGAAGGTAACAAGGAGGAAGAAAAAGGAAGAAGGAAAGTAAGCTTTGTAAGCAGCGGCAATGAGCTTACCCCGGGTACTTCTAGAATACCGGCGAGAAAGGGGTGAGACCTAACGTTAGCTAGGGAGAGAGGAAAAAAAAGCCTTGAAAGAGTGGATGTCCTTTTGTCGTTGCACCCTGAAAACCACCGACACCAAGCGTCGCGACGCTCGGTGTCGTTACCGGTGATGTTAATATCTTCGTAGAACATTAGGGTTTATTAGAAACGAGACTTCGTGCAAGCGAGCAGTTTCTTTTCTCTCTTCTTGCATCCTTTATCTTTCTCTTTCTTTTTAGGAAGTTGAATACGTTTTTAAATTTTCAGCTTGATATTTTGTTAAAATAATTATTCATACATTCCTCTTACATCAATTTTGATATTATTAATTATTATTATAGAAATTTTGCATTTTTTCCAAGATCGATAGTTCTTAATTTTCTTTAGTAAAATACAAAATTTTTAACTTCTAAGGTTCACAGTATGTTATTTATTTATTTTTGAAAATAAATATTCCATATTATTAGCATTTTTTTCTTGTTATTTGAATTCAGGGAGATACAACACAGCCAAGGATTAAAATCATAAGGAGAACAGGAATCTGTCTTTTGAAAGGGTGTCATGGGGTTATCGGGAAAATTCAAAATCTGCGTAAACACAAGGACCATGATTACGTTCACTGGCAAGAAGCACTTTGGGCGTGCAGATACGCGTTAAATTACATCGTTATACAAATTGAACGATGTTGCTAGTTTTCGAGTCGGCTGAATTGCCCGACCGGCAAATCCGATTAACCCCCTTGCCTCTCTTATAATAACGACACTCGTCCTCCACTTCACAACCTAATTTCACTGATTCGCCTTCTAACTTGAACGAACGATGGAAAATTTTATCCCGAGTAATGAGCAACGATGTCGTTTATGTCCTGCTATCCAGATAAATCGTTCGCGAACCGATTTAATTAGCTGCTACTTGATCCGTATTTTAATCTATGTATGCCATCCTTCAGACAACTTTTTTTTTCTGAATTTCATTTATGGAGCAGCAATAAATTATTAATTGAAATTAAAAAATATTGGAACCTGAGTCCATATGATTTATACCTTTAATCCAACCTCTTACTTATGTATTTATGAAAAATCTAATATGTACCTGTAAAAAATTTAATATCAAATGGCACTGTCTGAATTCAAAGAGTTGAAGATACAGAATTAGTCAACGATACTTCGATGAATCATCGATAATCCTTGGATTATCGAGGCCGAAGGTACCGTAACTCATTCGAGACAGACTTTAAGACGAATCGTTCGAATTAATTGCTTTTCTGTCGAACGCATCGTACCATTGCTCGCAGCCAGTTGTTGATCGTATCGAGGATTATTCGTGTAATTTACGCCAGTTTCGTGCGTCCTGCTCGAAATCGATTATTTGCCACGTTTAACTTCCATCAGCGTTCAACCAACTGTGTTTGTGCGGCTGATAATTGTAACAGGAATTGCGTGCAATTAGGCACAAACTGGAATTGTGCAACTTTGATTCCTCCCTTTGTACAACCTGCCACGCGATGTTAGTGATTCGCTGTTCAATCGAACTGAAAATTTATTTTTCACCTATCAAACCAACATCGACACCTGTCAATAAACATATTTAAAACACCTTTAAAAATAACTAATTAATTGAAAGTAAGAAATTACAAATTTCACATTAAAAAATTTGAACATCGATAAGACGATCGATCGAAGGTGTTCGATATTTCCGGAAACGGCATGAATAGCCGGCTTAAATACTCGAAGGCAACGGATGTTAGAGGTGCCAGTACCGACAGCTGGCCGTATATCAAACGTCAGTAAGTCGGATTTATTACGTTTCAAAGTTTAACAATGTCCAAGGGAGCCAGTGCCGATTGGCGTGACTTTAACCGAGTTCACCAGGAGCTTCCCCGGTTCACGATAGATAGTACAGAGTAAAAGGAAGAAGGGGGTTCTCGACGGTGATTCAGCCGGAAGTTGCACGGGTTTTATCGGTTCCACGCGGACCCCGACCCCAGCCCCTGAAGTAAATAAAATCTGCACGAGATAGATTGCGAACGAGCAATAACCTTAGATGTTATAGTGGATGGCTTTCGCAGGTTTACAGTTGGATTCCTGTGTAACCAGTGATTTCTATTGGGCTACATTTCGATAAATGTTTCGGGGGGATGTTATGAAAGGGATGGAGGCGAACGGATGTTTGCAGACACTGCTCTTTTTCTTTCTTATCTATCTTTCATCTTCTTCCAGCAATAGGATAGATTTTCCAACATATTGCTTTATTTTGAAATTTCGTAGATTCTAGAAATATGGAATTCTTTTTAGAGATATTACATGATATTAATACAGTTTCCTATTTTCTAATTGTCCGAAAGTTTTAATTTCCTATTATTTAAGAGGATTTCACCGCGAATATTCCTTCAAAAGCAATATTTTCCTGGACGGTTTGTTTTGAAAACGAGGCAAACGGAAACAAAAGCGAGTTACGATCAGAAAGCCACAAAACAACAATGAACGTTTCAGAGGAACGGTATACAGGATGGTGGAAAAATTCGTTCTGATCCCAAGTAGGATGCATAAAAGATCTCAAGCTAGTAAATACGTCCGGCAGAGTCGATTCGAAAGCACCACACTTAACCCATCGCGTACACACACGTGCACCCTCGACAAGAGGTTGGAGTTACGGCGTTTATATCATACACGTTCGGTCTCGTCGTAAAATTTGGAATGTTGCCCGAGTATCTGGGTTAAGAGTGGCCACTTGGGTTGCATCGGCGAGAAGAAAAATGCTCGA